ATAACCCCTATTTCTGCCCCACTGGTTGGGCACCCCCTGCACACTCACCCCAGCGTGGGAAGGGAGCCCCAGCCCTGCTCCCCGCTGCATGACTCCCCCTCCACCACAGCTCCTGCATAGAGAGCCACCAAGCCTAAACTTACTTCCAACGAGGGAGCGGGCTCCCCAGGCAAAACCTGGCTCTTCCCAGGCCCCTCCTTGCTGCACAACTGCTGCCAGAAATAGCCAACACCTGGGAGAGGGCTGCTGCTGCCGGCAATCAGCACTCACGGGCAGCTCCTGCACTTACAGAAAAATATTGGGGACAGCTGGGTACCAGCAGCAGGAACCTCCCCGCTGCAAACAGGGCCTGAGGGAGTGCGGGTCTCTCCGGCAGGAAAGGAGGTAAAGGAAATATTTTCTTTGGATATGCCTCGGGGAATGGCATACTTAGTCAGGGCCCAAGGGCTGCTCTCCAACAGGGGTCACAATGAGCCCGCTTCTTAAAGGCATGAAGCTGTTCATGAGAAAACTGTGAATCTCTTGGCTTTGACAGAAGAGATGAGACTTCAAAGGACAGAGATGCAAAGGGAACAGAAAGAGCAGTGTGCTGGAAGTGACAACACGTGCTAGCCACAGGTTGAGATGTAGCAACATTAACAGTGAGATCTTTCACAACACCGACAGGGGACTTGCAGACACAACGGTTCTCACCAGCCCTTAACTGCAGCTTGTGGGAAAGCCCCAGAAAGTGGGGCAATTCAGCGATAACCAGCTTGTTAGCCATGGATTTTAAGTGTTAAAAGTCTGACCTATGCAAGTCCAGGTCACATCATCTCTCGGGAACGAAGCTAACTCCACAAAAACACGTACTTCACGACGAGCAACATCACCTTGGCTTCCTGAAACACCAGCAACGGTCCTCTACTGCAGGACAGATGAAAAGAAGCGGGGGGGGAGGGGGGGGTGGAAAAGGCGCCATTATCAGGGTAGGCCTTTCCAGAGCTGCGTACAGCAGCTTTTTTAATGCCACCCCAGTCTTCTGTTGCTGCCCTCTAGCAGCGTACTGGTTATGACACCACATCTCAGAAGCAGCATGACGTCATGACACTTCTAGAAGATTTAATTACATCTATTTAACAGCAAAACATAAAGCCCTTCATTCCCCCTGCCTCTGTCTCATTTCTACCAGGATGTCAAGATTACTCCAAGTCAGGATTTTGAGAACATACCTCTCAAAGTGAACTGCAGTGCACTTCTCCAAAGTCAAGGTTCTGGGCTGAGGTCTCCATTTCAGGGCAAATCCAACATAGAGAGGGTTTTCCCTAACGTGCACAGCACTAAGGCTGCAAACAGCCGCTTCAAGCGGCATCCCAGCATGAACAGCCCTCACGGCATCACAAGCTGGATAAATCTGGAGCTTAAAACCACTTGTGCTACAGCAGAGGAAAGAGAGAGCTTCAGCATTGCGTTTCATAGCCTGGATAAACCTTACCTACTGTAGGACTTGATGCTTTCCTGCCAAGAAGCTTATTTTTCAAAATCCCTCTTTCCCAGGGGGAATTTACACGAGGATTCCCTCTGCAACTGCACTGCAGTAGGGATCCCCAGCAGGGATGTGAAGACTTTACCAGTCCCCTCAGTGTTTTGCCATGTGCCTGCACCCCCAGAGCGCCAGGGCCTTGTTTTGCTCCCTAGCAAGCACCCAAGCTACAGGAGATTTCAGAGCAGGGCATTCTTCCCACACCTCCTTTCCCAAGCAGTACCAGCATTTTCTTCTTGCTAATCACCTCAGTGCCTTTTGCTTTATAGGCCTCCCCACACACCCGTATTCCCTTTAACTGACTTGGATAAGGGTCATTAAATAACAACTGTCTTGATTCACCTCTGCTGTGCGATGACTTCTAAGTAGTCAGTGGGTTCCTCCATCCCACAGCAGAGCCTCAGAGGCAACCCTAGGTTTTAAACACAGCCCAAACTACAAACCAGACAAGTTTGGGATTCTAGCTGCAAATATACCCCCATCACCCAAGAGGCAGAGAGAGACGTTAGTTCAATATGGTTAATGAAGTAGCAACTCTGATTTGTTCTTTACAGTATTTATTGTACATGCAAATCTATGGAAACAAACTCCCTGTTGGAACCTTATTTTTTTTTAAAAATCAGATATAAATTACTTTCAGGTAAAGCACGTTTGTATGTTA